AACCGGGGAGCTGCCTGAGGTTGGCTGGAGTGCTGTGGCATTCTGATTGAGAGACACTCAGGTCAGACTAAGCTTCTGCTTCACTGCTGAACTGTACATGAACATGGCGGGAGAGCTCAGTCTGACAGTAAGAGCAGAAGAAAGGGGAGGTGTCTCTCTAAGGCCCCATGTACACGGGACGTTTTTGAACGATGGAAACTGACTGCTGGGAAAACGTAGGTTAAAAAAGGTCTGTTTAGCCGCGTATGCATAATGTGTTTTGCGCGTTTGCGTTTAGAAGCGTTTTTTAAAGATAAGCACAGGAGAACCTCCCAAATGCCCAGAATGCACTGAAAAGTGGTAAATTTATTAACGATTTCTGACTGTTTTTCAGAGAAATACAGAGAGTAGAAGCAGAGACAGCAGTATGTGTTGAGATAATTAGGTGTGAGTTGCTCATTAACATTTCTTTTGTTTCCAAGGGTAGGAAAGGTGTCTGGTGGAGTGAGTCATTAAGGTCACCTGGCAGGGGGTCTGCATGAGGAATTTGAGATGTAAATGTTCATTAACATATCTTTTGTTTCCAAGGGTGGGAGAGGTCTGAGGTGTGATTCGGTCATTACAATGTGTGACAAGCTTGGTGGGAACATCCTGTATACAGTATTTTGTCCATCTGAGTACCTTGAAAACACTTTGCATGCATATTTCATGGTGAAAAAAGGCTCTGGACAGCATTGGGAACTGGAAGAGTTAAAAAAAAAATTTCAATAGCTTATAAACGCGTTTTGCCGCGTTTACAAACATTTTGCGTTTGAAACCACTGATAAAATCGACTGCTGAATGCAAGTTTTCTGCATTCAAAAAATGACTGTAAACTCAAATGCCTCTAAACGACTGTAAACAAAGACACATAGGAAAATTAGGGTGAGTTCAGGGGCTGCTGAAAAAAAACACTGAACGGCTAAGCCACTCTGCCTCCCCCTAAAGTGCAGTACCTGGAAGTGGGTGAAGATACTGTAATGCAGATATTAAAAAGCGTGTGTGGTAATATAGCCTTGACCCCATCCATGCTCAGATCGATTTTCAGAGGTATTTGACAGACAATAGAGGTGATATGTTTGCCTCCTGTTTAACCCCTAAATGCATCATCACTGTGCTGCAACCGCCTGCAAAGCGCCCCGATTCACCTGGGGGGTATACTTCTGCCGCAAACCTCAGCATGTGTATGACCCTGGCTGATGCCTCTGCAGCTAATGGGGGCGCAGTTGGAGGGTGGTACAAATGTAGCTGTATCGTGGGTGTGGTTTTTACTGTCTTCTAACCTCTCCGAGCCCTTGCTTCACAACATGTGCAGGAAAGAAGTCATTGGTCCTTTTTCTAAAAAAAATTGTGCTGCACTGGAAACACACCACACAATATGAGGGGTACCATTAAGAATTAATGGTATTCATAGTGTCCCTGCTAAAGTGTAGTGCGTTTGTCTGCATGTTGGGAACGTACACTATTTTGCACTCATTCCTGGACAGACATTAATTAAAACCAAGTTTTAGAGACTGGGGTGCCTCGAGACTGAAAGAACGTATAAGGGCACCATGACAGGAAAATAAGTTGAAAAAACTGCTTTTAAATCATACATGTACATCTCCATTCATAAAATATATTGCATTCTTTTCACTGAATGCAAGGTGTCTGTAAATGGTGAAGGTGCAGATGAGCATCACTTTCTCCCTTCCTCCAGTCACAGAACGCTTTTGTATACTGTGAAAAGGAATACAAGATATTTTATAAATGGGATAAGTGAGCCACTATGATCAACGTAGTAGAGCTGGGACCATAAGGTGTCAGAAGTTTGAAGGTTACAGAGGGGTTTGGGCTGAAGGAAAATTAAGAGTTTTGACTCTTTGCAGCAGCCAGTAATGTGACAACCTGTCCTTAGCGGTAATTTTTTATTTTTAACTGGCCAAAAACGTATTTTTTTTTTCCCTGTAGCGTCAGCTGTAAAGCAGTTGTAAAGGTGTTTTTTTTTTTTTTTTTTTTTTTTTTTTGTGTGTTTAAATAAATATGGTATACTTACCTACTCTGTGCAAGGTGCCCCTTGGCTCCTCCTCTGTGTAAATTTTTTTAGAAAAAAATTGGTGCTGCACCGATAATGAAAATTCTGGTGGGGCCGGGGAACGATACTGAAAAATTCAGAATGCATTGTAGTCGAAAACCGAACCATCTGCCTATGTGGGGATGGGGAGGCTCCAAATTTATTTTTATTTTTTTCCTTTCTACTCATGTATATATTTTATTATATATAATTTTTTTTTTTTCACTTCTGATTTTATTTTCATCATAGGGGACCAGTAGTCCCCTATGTGATAGCATATGAGTGACAGGTTCCCTTTTGTGGGGGGCAGTGTACAAGGAGGGGAGCAGTGTATACAGAGAGGCTGAGAGGCTCCCTCACTGGTTGTCACTATGTCAGTGCTGGTTTTTCAGTTTCAATATTTTTTATTAAGAAAGTTTTGCTTTAAGAATACAACAAGCTCAAGATTATGCCCACGTGCAGGGCAGAGCAGAATAATAACACATAAAACAGATATAATCCTGCTGACTTCTGTATTAGCCCCAAATAACCAAAATGTCCAATGACATCAGGGGAGGGACGGCATAAAAGCCGAACCAAATAATAGCAGCAGTAATCCAACCATAGTACCGGGAAAAAGAAGAGAAAAGAAAAAAGGTTAGAAGAAAGACTAAAGAACATAAAACAAAAAAAAGGAATCCGAAAAAGAAAACACGGAGGAAAGAGAAACTAGAAGAATTTACGGATCCAGGGCTAGCACTGGTAACGACTAATAAAGAGGCCCATAACTAGGAGGACAAGGATGGCAAGGAATAATGTATCCAAGGTTCCCAAACCTTAAGGAATCTCAGATGAGAATCATGAAAAAATGCTTAGAAGACATCTGTTCATTGATCAACATAGCATTCATCCGGGTCTTCCACCCCTGGAAGACAGCCGAAAGTGGTTCTTCATTGCTTGAGCTATAGCAAAAAATAGGTAGGATGCCAATTTCTGCTGAGACCTAGACAGACGTTTTGTAGCAAACCAAAAAACCACCCTCGGCCCAGTATCCTATCAATCGCGGGCATGACCACCAGATGTGCAGGACGTGCCCCCGCGTAGACCACAGATCCGGAAACGCCCATCTCCACCAGTCGGATTAAAGTGAGCAGTCCTCCGCCACAATTGAAACACCCATTGAAGAGAAACATAACAGGGGTTGGTGAGGATAACCTACTGTTAAGGGAGGAATAAATTACAGAAATGAAGACCTCGGGACCCTGGGGAATACTGACAAACACCAAACGCGCTCAAAGGGCGTTTTTGTGGTCACTGGTCACAGGTTGGGTTGTGTGGGTTGTTTGGTTGTTTGTGTGTTTTGCTTTTTGGTTGGTGTTGTACGACTGAGGGGATTAGGACTGACGTCGGTGCTGGTTTTTAAATGCAGTGGACAGCACACAGTTTTATTTTAAATGCAGTGGACATTTTTTTTTTTTTTTTTTCACTATAATTCACAGAATTTAGCTTTCACTTTCCCTGGAGCTAAAGAAAATCGTTTTTTTTTTTATATCTTGAGAAAATAAACTAAAAATGAAACCGTTTCTTTTAGCTGGGGGGGAAATTGACCAGCTAATTCTGTGAGCTATAGTGAAGAAAAAAAAAGCCGGTAATTACATTTTTAAACACTGGCACTGACATAGTGCACCAGCCCGTCCACTGTATATACTGCTCCCCCCTCCTATCCTGCCATTTCTCAGCCCAGCCACCCCCTCACATACACAGTAACACACAGTCTCCTGTCTCTATCGGCACCTGTATCTGCTACATTTTTTCCTATCGGCTATTTTCAGCCGGTATGTTTTGGTGGCTGAAATTTCGGTGCATCCCTGTAAAAAATACAATTTAATCTTAATGCACATAAACACAATATAAATATACAAGATGGCGTTATGCCAAGTAGATACCGAACATGTCATGCTTTAAAATTACTCGTGGAATGGCGCCAAGCTAACGGTATTTAAACGTCTCCATTAGGCTTATGCTTTAAATGCCTGGTACATTTTACCAGTGGAGAGTTACACAGGAGGCCCTGGTGCCAGAATTATTTCTGTCGCTGTGATGTTCGCAGCTATACCTCATATATGGTGTGATGGCCGTTACATATGCACGAGGGACCATTTAAAAAAAAAAAATTTTTTTTACATGATTTCTTTACAATTTTTAGTACTTTTATTGCTGTCACAAGGAATGTAAACATCCATAGTGACAGGTCTGTTGGACCCCAGATGTCTCCTAATCACACCAAGATCAGTCTGACCAGATGCTTTCTCAGTTTAAAAATGGTGCTGTTTTATATCTCGGGAAACCGGAAGTGACAATATATACTAGTTGCTTCCGGTTTCCTATACCATAGAGCTGACTGGGGGGAGCTTCTGGTCCTCAAAAAGCTCTACTGTAAGCCGACAGAAATGCCAGATTCAGTTGAGGTTCTCAGTGGGATGGAGAGCCCAGAGAGGGGGGAGGGGGTAGGTAGTTCTCTAACCTGCCCGCCGCCTGTAAAAGCAATCCAGTGGCTAGTTAGCTGTTAGGATGGCTTTTACAGAAAAAAATATAAAAATAACCTGTGCTTAGAAAAATGTGGCGTTTACTGTTGCTGACCTGCCCTAAAAATGCTGGTTGTCATTCTGGTCCAGTGGCCTCAAGTAAATACACTAGGAGTACTGACTTCACTTGCATATTTTTTTTCTTGGGCACTTATTTAAAATGCATTTTTAGAAAGAAACCACCTTGGTAGTTTACTAATGTCTCTCACTGCAGGTTTTCTCTTAAATATTGCACAATCAGTTTTTGTCACTCCTAGAATAATTCTAATAAAGAGAAAGGGAAGAGAATATAGAATGTACAAAATAGACCTGTTTTATAATCATGTTTGTGGTACTGTGAATTTACAAAGCTTTACTTGTTGCAGGCATTTTGTTCCTAACATCACATTTGGACATCCTGTAGTAGAGTGCCTAAGAAAGCAACTGGGAAATGACCCGTTTTTTGGTAAGCTCCAAAGGTCAAACAATATTAAAATGTTTAAATAAATATTGACATTTTCTAGATGTAGTAGATCTATTGTGTTTTAATAAGGCCGGGCATAGACCAGTGAGGCTGTGCAAAACTACGGTTACCTATAGCAGTCAGACAGATTTAGCGCTGTCTTACACTGGCCATCCTGTCACTACTGAGAATTCACCAGGGGCAGGATCATTTTGGAGGACACAACAGGGAGTGAAAACACTAGCATGGTGAATTTTCTCAATTGTGAGATGTTAGTGTTACACATGGGCCTTTAATATTACAGCAGCTAATTGAAATGAGAGTTGGTGCTGGTTGGCTGTTGTGTCACGGATCATTGAACATAAATTTTCCATTGTGATAGAGTTTAGGTTGCGCATGACCTATGCATAATTATTCAATACCTAAAGTGAAACTGTGTTCACTTAAATATTAAAGTGGAACTGAAGTTTTACCCCCGTCAGTTTTTTTTTTTTTTTTTTTTTTTTTTTTTTCCCCCATCTGTGTCCCATTTGAGATTTCCCTTCCTATCCCAAAACCAAGCCACAACAGGAGATAATATATGGTAGTCACCAGAACTAGTGTCCCCATTGGAGGATTTCCCCTCTTCTTGCTCTGGTGACTAGTCAAAATTGTGGTATATTTTCAGTAATACCAATCACTAGGACAAAAAAAAAAAAAAGACCGCCATAAAAACCTGACCTAATAAACCTTCACTTTATCTAAAACTAAAAAAAAAAAAAAAAAAGTTTGCCTTCAATTATGCTTTAACATATTCTGAACAAAACTGTAGAATGGCTTTTAAGGCCCCTTGCATGGAGGGGGGTTGGGGGGGGTATATTTAGCTAGGGAGGGAAAGGTGCAGCATCCAACCCCACTGCTTGCAGTCTGTCAAAATCTATGTCTGGATGGGACTGAACTCTGTACTGAGTGGAACTGGGCTTTGAGCTGGGAACATAGGCTTTGAGATGCTGCAGGCAGTGAGGCTGGATGCTGCATCCACCCTGCTGCATCCACCTTCCCAGCCTCGCTAAGGTCCCGTGCACACTGGACGCTTGGTGACATGACCCTAAAAAAGGCTTCAAAGTTGTTTGATTCACTATAGCCTGATTTCCTTTTCCATAATCAATAATGTTAGGGTTTTATCTGCATACTTGTTCATATGCCCCCAGACTGCTGTTAGGCTCCCAACAAAGTTTACATTTGCCATCCTTGAGCATTGTGTGAATGTACACAAATGTCACATGTGTAACGTGCACTGTTAAAGCAGCCTATTAATTTTGAGTAAGCTGCCAGCCCACCAGAATGTGTGATTCCCCTTCTGTTTTTTTTTATTGGATTGGAGGTAGGTGTGTGTAAATGAACACAAGTATGTTTACATCCGCCAGTCTTTAGAGGAGAATGGAAGGGTCTGATTGGGTCTGCCTGAAAATGGACAAGTGGACGCAATCAGACCAATCGTGCGAAATAGGCCTAAAAGAGAAGTATGGCCAAAGCTTTTTTTTTTTTTTTTTGACTAATGTACAGAACCTCCCCGATTCTGGAAGTATTCCAGCAATGTTGAGATCCACCCAGATGCCTGATTGACAGATGGGTTTCTTGGCCATTGAGTGGCACACAAATTCAGGTAGTTATTATAAAGGGCCATCAACCTGAGTCCCGCGTCATAGTGAGAAAGCACTCTAAAAAGAAGTCTGCTTTGTGCTAGTATTGTGAGGTCCTCCAGTGTCATCCCCACAGCTGTAGTCAATGTGTCCAACCACCTAGTAGTTGGTCTTTCTCTTCGCTTGGTTCCTTCAATCTTCCTATACATTATTCTCCAGTGATCTCTCCCTTCTGATGGTGTGACCAAAATAGGACAGTCGCGACTTCATGGGCTTCTAGTGACATAGCCAGTTTGATCCCTTCACAAATTCAGATCCTGTTGGCTATATTACCCTGTACAAGAGGATTGGACACTGGCAAACAAAAGAACTGTAGGACAGCCTAGAATAATGCGACCCCCTTCTCTACCCAGCATACCTCAGTTTTTTGCTAGTGTGCCAAGGTAATATGGTGATGAGGTTTTATTCAAAGCTCCACTGAAAAATTCTAACCAGTTTTTTCTGACGTGTTGTTTGACCATTTTTTATGTTTGACCTAACAGTATCTGAAGTAATGTGCCCCTCAAGACAAAGAAAAGGCCCTATTATAAGCTAGATAAATGATTGACATAACTTGTTTTATAATAACTGGACTTGTGCTTTTTATTTTCATTGGCAGACATGCATATGATGGTGGCTAAACCAGAGCAGTGGGTGAAACCCATGTCAGTTGCTGGTGCCAACCAGTATACCTTTCACCTGGAGGCTACAGACAACCCAGGAGCTCTCATTAAAGACATACGAGAATGTGGTATGAAGGTGAGTAACCATGGCTAGTGCACATAGGTTTGTTTTTTGACGGCGTACATTGCTGGCCTAAAACTAAACATGTTAACTACAAATACTTAAATATGATCTTTGTGTTTAAATATAGCTTGGCTTGTGTGGGGCTGACACAGTGGCCACATCCTTCTGTCCTCCATACACTTTCAGTATGTGTGGGCTCTTACTCAAAGCCAAGCAGGGAGGTGACCAGCCCTTATTGCTCAACTGCAGTAGAGAAAACTAAGGTCACCATCTTACAGTGATATCACTTAGGCTAATCCTAATGACACAGCACTTGATTATCTATATTAGAACCTGTCAGACTGTATCCAGTGAAATTAAAAAATGGGGGAGATTTAATAAAACTGGAAAGTTCAAAATCTGGTGCAGCTCTGCATAGAAACCGTTCAGCTTCCATGTTTGTGTCAAAGCTTAACTGAACAACCTGAAGTTAGAAGCTGATTGGCTACCTTGCACAGCTACACCAGAGTGCTCTAGTTTTAGAAAATCTCCCCCGATGTGTCCAGCAAATCAAAGAAATGTAAACATGTCCAATAGGTAAAAATGTGTCCATGATAGTCCCATGATGGGCTACTTTTACACTGCTCTGTTGCAAAAACATGCGTTTTGGCACGTTTCTGGTGCGTTTTGCACTGAAAAATACATGACTCAAACACGCAACTGCGGGTGCATTTTTGATGTTTGCCATGTTTTTGATACATTTTCCATTCATTATCAGTGTGGAGGTGCGTGTTTTTTTTTTTTTTTTTTTTTACGTAAAAACTGAAGAAAAATTGATCAGTGTGAAACAGCCTAAAACATCTTGTAATCACCCAGTACTGACCACCACTACAAATAGACATACACTCACCACCTCAATTTGCTCAACTCTCTTAACCACTTCAAGTCCATACACTTTCACCCCCTTTCTGTCCAGGCCAATTTTCAGCAATCAGTGCTATCACACTTTGACAATTGCGCGCGGTCATGCAACACTGTACCCATATGAATTTTTTTAGCATTTAAAACTTTATTTTGGTAGTATTTATTCACCACTGGCATTTTTTAATTCTTGCTATATAAATGAAAGTCCAAAATTTTTGAAAGTGTTTTTTCTTATAAAATTTTGCAAATAAATAATCTTTTTACATAAATCTTGACCACAATTTATTCAGTTTATCTTTTTAGTAAAAAAAAAAAAATAACCCAAATTAGTTTATAACCAAAAATTATAATTTTTCAAAATGGTTTTTTACTTTTTTTTTTTTTTTTATAACATACTGTTACCCTAGCAGTACAGTGTCACCATAGCGACACTGTACTACTTGTGGGGGGTCATGAGGTTTTTTTTTTTTTTTTTTTTTTTTTTACACTGATTGCTTTTACATTCATAAAGGCTGTAGAAGTGATAATTTATCCTTCTCTGGCTGCATTCTTGCAGCAATTGAGAAATACTGAGAGCTGTGATTGGTCACAGCTTGTCACATGGTACAAGGCTGTTGTGAATAGCCTTGTACCATGTGACCTCTGTGATCATTCACAGATTTCACACATAGTGGGCACTGGATCACGCACAAGCAGGGAAGCGGGAGGACATTTATAAATGGCCACCCGCTCCTGCACTGCTCCCGTCCGGCCGTTTATGTACATGGGCCGGACGGGAAGTGGTTAACTAAGGCAATCAGACTTGTGTTCTCTTTAGGGCTGCAACCAACAATTATTTTCATAATCGATTACTTGGCTGGTTGTTTTGTTAATCGGATAAAAACCTAAAAAATAAAGTGTGGTGCATAATTTAGTTAGTATGTAAAGTTTACAAAGACAATTTTATTCTTGCATATCTATATGCTGTGCTAAATATTTTTAACCAAATAACTGTGATTAGGAAAGACAATATCTAGTCCACTCTGAGAATAACAGCCAGAGATTTATATACTAGAAGAGGTTGAATCTGATACATATAATCAGACTTGCAGATCAAAATTTTTATTTTAAAAGACCTAAAAATGCTGTTTTTACAGATTCTCAGACAGGATTATAATATATTATGCATGAGAGACTCCCTTGTCATAGGGTCATAGGCAGGTAGCTTGATGCAAGCTACCTGCACCTGCTGTCACTTTATGCTGGCCATACACAAACAAATTTTTCCTTCTATAATTTTTGTTTTAAGAATGTTCAACTTTGTAATCGTTAATGAGGTCCATTCAACGTTCGTTTTCAACCACAGTGATGGGAAAATTCAAAGGAGCAGAATAGAAAACTTCAAATGAATTTTATGTGTATGTGGGTCTTCATTCAGAAATTACATTTTCAAACTGAATGTGAAGTGAAGTTTTTGAACATTTGTCCATTCATCGAATGTAAAAAGAATTTTCATACGAATATTCTCATCCAAAAATCAATATGGGTATGGCCAGCATGCTTGCTGTTTTTTTTTTTTTTTTTTTTTTTTAAATCCCTGTTATGATGGGTCGAAAAAAACAAATTAGCCCTTTGTAGTACAGAAATAGAAGATAATCAGTACTGTAAGGGGTTAATTTATACAGTGAAACAGGTTGTTTGTGTTTTTTTTTTTTTTTTATTAAAATAGTATTAAAGGCTGAGGCTTTCATTAAATATAATGCACAATACTAGTAAACGTTTGCTTTATATTTAAAGCGATTTCTAAAGGTTCATCTTAACTTTTTTTTTTTTTAAAAATAAACAAATGTCTAAACTTGATTACTGTGTACAGTGGTTTTGCATAGAGCAGCCTGGATCCTCTTCTTGGTCCCCCGCAGGCTCTCCTCCTGCCCCCTCCCTCCTGTCGGGTTGTGAGTCTCCCCCCCCCTCCTCCTCATTGGCTTGACTGGCTGTGATTGACAGCAACAGGAACCAATGGCTCCCGCTTGCTGTCTCAGCCAATGAGGACATTTTCTGACATACTATGCTCAAAAAGTTGCCTACCCTTGTTTTAAATGGACACATTGTTTTGATTTATTGGACACATTGGGGTTGATTTACTTATGGCAAATATACTTTGCATCACAAGTGCAGTTGCTTTATATCCGAGGGGAAGTTCTGAAATGTGGTGAAGCTCTGCTCATTTCTTTCATCCAATCATGTGCAAGCAAAAATGCTGTGTGTTTTTTTTTTTTTTTTTTTTTTTTTTTTTTTTCCCTTGCATGTTCCCCTCAGATCTAGAGCAACTGAACTTAAAGTGCACTTGCAGTGCACAGGCTATATTTTCCTTTGGTAAATCAACCCCATTGTCTTTGATCAGCTGGACACATTGTTTATTTTCACTGGGTTATACAGTATGGTCTAAATTCAGTTTCTAAGGACCCTTTCACAGTATTGGACCAATCGGATGTGCCATTTTTCAGGTGGACCTGACCCAACCCTCCAGACTCTTCTATGGACATGTGTCCATTTACACCCGCCTACATCGATCCTATCCACTAAAAACAAACAGATGGGTATCTGTTCTGCATTCTGTGGTGGAATGGATCAAATGGCAGTTGGGTGTAAATGGACAGGCGGTCCGTTTTTTATTTTTGACCACCTATAGAGGACAGCATAAGTAAAGCAGACATGGACCAGCCATCCGCCTTGGAATGCCTAAGCGGACAGATCACCTGCTGAGCAAGCAATCTTCCAATGGAGCCGGCCCCATGTGGAAGGGGCCTAATATAGATGATCGAACGGCATGCCATTTTTGGCCGGTGATAATAACTGGTTTTGTGGGGTTATAATGCTGCTGTTGGGGGTTGTTCTTTAGTTTTAACCACTCTCTGACCAGCGACATATCTGTACGTTGATGGACTTTCTGTGGTTGGACCTGCATGCAGCTACAGCGCTTTTTTTTTTTTTTTTTTTTAAGCTTTTTTTCCCTCCTTTTAGAGCTAGCAGTCGGCTCTTTTGTACAAACAATCGGAGCGGCAACTACCCACATGACTGCTTGTACAAGCAGTGGGAGTAGATGTTAAAATGTAAACACAAATTTCCAAAAATGGGTTGGGGCTGCAGTGGTTTAATGTTTTTTGATTGTAGCAAAGTGTAATTTCTTCAGTGTTGTCACATGAAAAGATAAAATAAAATTACACCATGTAAAGTAGTGAGTGTAGCTTGTATAACAGGGTAAATTTACTGTCCCCTCAAAATAACTCAACACACAGTCATTAATGTGTAAACCGCTGGCAACAAAAGTGAGTACACCCCTAAGTGAAAATGTCCAAATTGGGCCCAATTAGCCATATTACCGCCCTGGTGTCATGTGACTCGTTATTAGGTGTTACAAGGGAGCAGTGTGTTAAATTTGGTGTTATCGCTCTCACTCTATCATACTGGCCTCTGGAAGTTGCCATGAGGTGCCATGTTCAAAGAACTCTTTAAGGATCTGAAAAGAATTGTTGCTCTACATAAAGATGGCCTAGGCCAGTGATGGCGAACCCGTGGCACGCGTGCCACAGCCCGGCACACCGAGCCTTATCTGTGGGCACGCCAGGAGAATACCGTATTTTTCGCTCCATAAGACGCAATTTTTTTCCCCCAAAAAACTGGGGAAAATGTCAGTGCGTCTTATGGAGCGAATATAGAGCGGCCGGTCCGGTATTTCCACCGCCGCCGTGTCAGAATAGCTCAGCTCTGCAGTGGGACCGTACCTGTCCCTCTATCCAGCGGCGCGCTGTCTTCCCGGCTTCTGTTGTGTGCGTGACAGCCGGGTCCCAAGTGTGCATGCGCAAGAAGCAGTGCTCTTTGTGAATGGTAAGGCGGTACCTGGGACACATGACAGATCCCAGAAGCCGCCGGACCAATCACAAAGCGCAGCGCTTCTCGCGCATGCGCACTGGGCATCCGGCTGTCCGACGAGCGCCCACACTACAGAAGCCGGGAAGACAGCGCGCGGCTGGATAAAGGAACAGGTAAATAAAAAAAAAAAACTCTGCGGAAGTAATGAGCGGGTACCTGTCATTCAGGTACCCGCTCCCCCTCCCTCCCCAAAATCAGCAGTCATCTGTACTGTCCGCAGTCTCTGGTCATCCCTGTGCTTTCCGCAGTCTCTGGTCATCCCCTGTACTGTCCGCAGTCTCTGGTCATCCCTGTACTGTCCGCAGTCTCTGGTCATCCCTGTACTGTGTCCGCAGTCTCTGGTCATCCCTGTACTGTGTCCGCAGTCTCTGGTCATCCCTGTACTGTGTCCGCAGTCTCTGGTCATCCCTGTACTGTGTCCGCAGTCTCTGGTCATCCCTGTACTGTGTCCGCAGTCTCTGGTCATCCCTGTACTGTGTCCGCAGTCTCTGGTCATCCCTGTACTGTGTCCGCAGTCTCTGGTCATCCCTGTACTGTGTCCGCAGTCTCTGGTCAGTACTGTGTCCGCAGTCTCTGGTCATCCCTGTACTGTGTCCGCAATCCCTGTACTGTGTCCGCAGTCTCTGGTCATCCCTGTACTGTGTCCGCAGTCTCTGGTCATCCCTGTACTGTGTGGTCTCTGGTCATCCCTGTACTGTGTCCGCAGTCTCTGGTCATCCCTGTACTGTGTCCGCAGTCTCTGGTCATCCCTGTAGTGTCCGCAGTCTCTGGTCATCCCTGTACTGTGTCCGCAGTCTCTGGTGTACTGTGTCCGCAGTCTCTGGTCATCCCTGTACTGTGTCCGCAGTCTCTGGTCATCCCTGTACCGTGTCCGCAGTCTCTGGTCATCCCTGTACCGTGTCCGCAGTCTCTGGTCATCCCTGTACCGTGTCCGCAGTCTCTGGTCATCCCTGTACCGTGTCCGCAGTCTCTGGTCATCCCTGTACCGTGTCCGCAGTCTCTGGTCATCCCTGTACCGTGTCCGCAGTCTCTGGTCATCCCTGTACCGTGTCCGCAGTCTCTGGTCATCCCTGTACCGTGTCCGCAGTCTCTGGTCATCCCTGTACCGTGTCCGCATGAATCCCTGTACCGTGTCCGCAGTCTCTGGTCATCCCTGTACCGTGTCCGCAGTCTCTGGTCATCCCTGTACCGTGAGCAGTCTCTGGTCATCCCCTGTACCGTGTCCAGCAGTCTCTGGTCATCCCTGTACCGTGTCCGCAGTCTCTGGTCATCCCTGTACCGTGTCCGCAGTCTCTGGTCATCCCTGTACCGTGTCCGCAGTCTCTGGTCATCCCTGTACCGTGTCCGCAGTCTCTGGTCATCCCTGTACCGTGTCCGCAGTCTCTGGTCATCCCTGTACCGTGTCCGCAGTCTCTGGTCATCCCTGTACCGTGTCCGCAGTCTCTGGTCATCCCTGTACCGTGTCCGCAGTCTCTGGTCATCCCTGTACCGTGTCCGCAGTCTCTGGTCATCCCTGTACTGTTAATTAGTTTGCACTACTGTACGAGTTGTTTTTTCTAAACCAAAAGCTCGATATTCAGGTTTCATTGCAGTGTTGGCACTTTGAAAGAAATAAGTTGGTTTTGGGTTGCAGTTTGGGCACTCGGGCTCAAAAAGGTTCGCCATCACTGGCCTGGCTATAAGAAGATTGCCAAGACCCTGAAACTGAGCTGCAGCACAGTGGCCAAGACTATACAGTGGTTTAACAGGACAGGTTCCACTCAGAACAGGCCTCGCCATGGTCAACCAAAGGAGTTGAGTGCACATGCCCAGCGTCATATCCAGACGTTGTCTTTGGGAAATAGACGTATGCGTGCTGCCAGCAATGCTGCAGAGGTTAAAGGAGTGGGGTTCAGCCTGTCAGTGCTCAGACCATACGCTGCACACTGCATCAAGTTGGTCTGCATGACTGTTATCCCAGAAGGAAGCCTCTTCTAAAGATGATGCACAGGAAAGCCTGCAAACAGTTTGCTGAAGACAGACTAAGGAAATGGATTACTGGAACCATTTACTGTGGTCTGAGGTAGATCAACTGATGTTCAGATGGTGTCAAGCGTGTGTGGCGGCAACCAGGTGAGGAGTACAAAGACAAGTGTGTCTTGCCTACAGTAAAGCTTGGTGGTGGGAGTGTCATTGGTCTTGCATGAGTGCTTGGCACTGGGGAGCTACAGTTCATTGAGGGAACCATGAATGCCAACATGTGCTATGACTTTCTGAAGCACAGCATGATCCCCTCCCTTCAGAGACTGGGCTACAGGGCTGTATTCCAAAATAATGACCCCAAATACACCTCCAAGATTACCACTACCTTGCTAAAGCTGAGGGTAAAGGTGATGGACTGGCCGCATCTGTGGGGCATCCTCAAACGGAAGGTGGAGGAGCGTAAGGTCTCTAACATCCACCAGCTCCGTGATGTTGTCATGGAGGAGTGGAAGAGGACTCCAGTGGCAACCTGTGCAGCTCTGGTGAACTCCATGCCCAAGAGGGTTAAGGCAGTATGGAAAATAATGGTGGCCGCACAAAATATTGACACATTGGGCCCAATTTGGACATTTTCACTTAGGGATGTATTCACATTTGTTGCCAGTGATTTAGACATTAATGGCTGTGTGTTCTCTTGAGGGGATAGTAAATTTACACTGTTATACAAGCTTACACCCACTACTTTAAAGCAGCAAAGTGTGTGTGTGTGTGTGTGTGTGTGTGTGTGTGTGTGTGTCAGTCACACACATACGATGGACTGTTCAATCAGCCTAATGTCTTCTCTTGGGAGCTTCCATTTGGTGATTGACTGTGAGTGGTTTCTTCAGACCCACCGAAGTAAGGAAATTCTTTTAGTTTTCTTTTTATCCTGCTATGACAATGTCAGACAAGTGAGTGTGAATGTGCAGTGATTTGCATGTGATCATTGGAAATAAGGCGATGCCATACCTACTTTGCTCTATCGCTTGTATTTTTCTTTGAAAATGTAATAACATATTACATAAAAGCAAAATAAATGATTGTGAACCTTAAACACACCCTGCCTCCTGTTGCCCCAACAGAGTCTTCTCATTGTAGCTAGCCGTAAAACGTATACCTCAGATGCAGTCTCTGCCTGCTTGCTCAGAGCCAATTATTGTTGCAGATTCCAGCTCCGACATACTTGCAATTCAACTTTTACACTCACACGTTTCAATGCAGTCACAATAGTTGTACATGTGCTGGGACCAGCGATGGAGTATAAGGCGGAAGTAAGGGCTGCAGTATACATGCTAATGAGTTTGCCAGAACTAGAGGCTGCAAGTCCTTGGGGGTGAAAGGGAGTTGGAGGTGCATTTTACTCTAAATTCAGAGTATTGGAAAAATTTATGCATGGAACAAACCTTTACTTTTCACTTTTACTTGATGGGAAGTCTGGTTTACACATACTAATGCGGTCTGTGTCTTATCTGAACTCCTATTCCTGTCTTCTACAGGTGGGACTGGCTATCAAACCAAATACTACAGTAGAATATCTTGCACCATGGGCAAGTCAGGTTGATATGGCGTTGGTTATGACAGTGGAGCCTGGTTTTGGAGGACAGAAGTTCATGGAGGACATGATGCCAAAGGTAAAATTAACTGCTACTATACTTGCTAATTAACATAATGGGTGGGGAAAGAAGAAGGGTATTGTGAAAAGATGTTCTTGGTCCACTGCTACAGTTTCAGAGCGTGGTTTGTAAATGTGTTTTGTGAGAGTAGTATTACTATAAAGAATAAAAATGCCAATAGTGAGGAAAAAAACATACTGCTGTTCAGACCATGTCATGTTCTGTGGTGTACCACAAAGTGTGCTCTATTTTTCTCACTGAATAAAGATGTAATTCACACAACATGAATAAATGCTTTTTGTCCATATTAACGACTTGCCTTCCAGAGGATTTACCCCCCCCTTTCCTGACCAGGCCGCGTTACTTTAACTGACAATTATGCGTTCTTGCAATGCTGCACCCAAATGAAATTTGCATCCTCACCCCCCCCCCCCCCCCCCACAAATAGAGCTTTCTTTTGGTGGTATTTGATTACCTTTGTGGTTTATTTTTGGCGCTATAAAGAAAGCAACAATTTTGAGGGAAAAAAAAACAATATTTTGGACTTTGCTATTAAACATGTCGTTAAAAAAAAAAAAAATTAATTTAGGCCAAAATGTATTTTGCTACGTCTTTGCTAAGAAAAAAATCCCAATACATGTAAATGAATTGGTTTTACATGAAAGTTATGGCGGTATATATACTGGGCTTTTTGTTTTAATTTTTTACTAGTAATGGCGGCGATCAACGACTTATAGTGGGAATACGGCGGGCATTCTGACACTGGGGGGAACTGACTTTGTGTCACTGAATTCCCCAGTGACACCAATACAGTGATCAGTGCTAATAAAAAGCACTGACACTGTACTAATGACACTGGACAGGAAGGGGTTAACTGTGTGTGTGTTTTACATTCTGTTCTGTGTGTGGCTTCACTGTGGCCATGCAAAGCATTGTGCTGGAGCTGACAGGGAAAGATGTTCTAATTTGTTTAAAAAAAAAACAAAAAAAAAAAAACGCACACACACACACGCAAAAAAGTATTTAGTCAGCCACCAATTGTGCAAGTTCTTCACTTAAAAAGATGAGAGAGGCCTGTAATTGGCATCATAGGTAGACCTCAACTACGAGAGACTAAATGCAAATAAATTCTTTCCAAATCAGCCAATGTGATTGTCTGGATTTTTTTTCTCAAATTATGGTGGAAAATAAGTATTTGGTCACCTACAAACAAGCAAGATTTCTGGCTCTCACAGACCTGTACCTTCTTCTTTAAGAGGCTCCTCTGTCCTGCACTCATTACCTGTATCAATGGCACCTGTTTGAACTTAGTATAAAAGACACCTGTCCACAATCCCAAACAGTCACACTCCAAACTCCACTATGGTGAAGACCAAAGAGCTGTCGAAGGACACCAGAAACAAAATTGTAGACCTGCACCAGGCTGGGAAGACTGAATCTGCAATAGGCAAGCAGCTTGGTGTGAACAAATCAACTGTGGGAGCAATAATTAGAAAATGGAAGACATACAAGACCACTGTTAATCTCCCTCGATCTGGGGCTCCACGCAAGATCTCAACCATGGGGTCAAAATGATCACAGGAACGGTGAGCAAAAATCCCAGGACCACACGGGTGGACCTAGTGAATGACCTGCAGAGACCTGGGACCAACATAACAAAGGCTACCATCATTAACACACTACGCCGCCAGGGACTCAGATCCTGCAGTGCCAGACGTGTCCCCCTGCTTAAGCCAGTACATGTCCGGGCCCGTCTGAAGTTTGATAGAGAGCATTTGGATGATCCAGAAGAGGATTGGGAGAATGTCATATGGTCAGATGAAACCCAAATAGAACTGTTTGGTAGAAACACAACTCGTCGTGTTTGGAGGAGAGAGAATGCTGAGTTGCATCCAAAGAACACCATACCTACTGTGAAGCATGGGGGTGGCAACATCATGCTTTGGGGCTGTTTCTCCGCAAAGGGACCAGGACGAACTGATCCATGTACAGGACAGAATGAATGGGGCCATGTATAGTGAGATTTTGAGTGCAAACCTCCTTCCATCAGCAAGGGCATTGAAGATGAAACGTGGCTGGGTCTTCCAACATGACAATGATCCCAAACATACCGCCCGGGCAACGAAGGGAGTGGCTTCATAAGAAGCATTTCAAGGTCCTGGAGTGGCCTAGCCAGTCTCCAGATCTCAGCCCCATAGAAAACCTTTGGAGGGAGTTGAAAGTCCGTGTTGCCCAGTGACAGCCCCAAAACATCACTGGCTAGAGGAGATCTGCATGGAGGAATGGGCCAACATACCAGCAACAGTGTGTGCCAACCTTGTGAAGACTTACAGGAAACGTTTGACCTCTGTCATTGCCAACAAAGGATATATAACGAAGTATTGAGATGAACTTTGATATTGACCAAATACTTATTTTCCACCATAATTTGCAAATAAATTCCTTCCAAATCCGCCAATGTGATTGAATTTTTTTTTCTCATTTTGTCTCTCATAGTTGAGGTCTACCTATGATGCCAATTACAGGCCTCTCTCATCTTTTTAAGTGGGAGAACTTGCACAATTGGTGGCTGACTAAATACTTTTGTGTGCGTGTGTGTACACATTTTTTTTTTTTTTTCCCCAATAAGTTTTTGGGCAAATATTTTACCTTCGTGAAAAGCATGTTTGATTAAAATGGATCTCTCTCCTTCTGTAGAGATCATACTTTTAAAGAAAAAATTTCACAAGTGAAAAACTACTTATTTCTGGCTCTGTGTGGAAAAATGACTTTTATGCTGGCTTTTGGCCTTCCCTCTCACCGACCGGGACCTGGTGATTGACAGCGGCGGTTGTGAATGGTGGCGCCGCGCGCACCCCCCTACCCGGAAATGCAAAATCGCGTATGTATATGTGATTTTGCGCACAGCTGCCGCCCTGTAGCAGTATTTCTGCCATGGTTTTAGCTGGCTGGTGCCGTTTTAAGGTGCATCAGCCACTTTTCCCCTATGGGCCTGAGCTACAGTAGCAGCAGCTCCTCAGTTCTCTTTGGTTAAATATATATGATAGCTGACAGGTTTCATTATTAGCAGCATAGTCTTTTATTTGCCTTAATTTGCATATGTGATCCATTCTAGCAGGCATTGTTTCAGTGCCCCATGGTAGAAACTACTGCTCTTTTTTACTTGCAGGTGCAGTGGCTGAGGTCACAGTTCCCTTCACTGGACATAGAGGTGGATGGTGGTGTTGGGCCAGACAATATACACAGATGTGCTGAGGTAAGAGTTGGAGCTTATTGACAAACTAGCCGTTACAATTGGAGTCATTTTGTCTGGCTGCTATTTCAGCTTTTACTCAAATTTGCATTTTTGTGAGGTCATGTAATTGTAAGTCAAGATGAAGGAAAGTGCATGCTTACACCTATGGCCTCTTACAATTTCTACAACCTGTGAACACGCCTACACAGCTGATCCTCATCTTCTTCCTTGGGGCTATTTTCCAAGGGTGGATACACTTGGGAGATGGTGCCAAAATTATATATATACTGCAAAAACTGTAAATATTACAGAATGCACCTGTCACATTTGCTTTGGGAAAATTGGCAAGAGGCACATCTTAAATACTTGCCCATCTTGGATGCCACTGTGGCCAATCTTATGACCAAGTGTCTAGGCATTTGTTCATCTCTGCAAAGGAAAGGATCAGCTAAGCTGGGATTCTAAAATTCTATAAAAATACAGTATCTTCTGCTAAAAAAACAAAATGTATTGAATTCAGTGTTTTGTTTGGGTTTTGGTTTGAGCTGTGCCAATATACAAATATTCACCTTAGTGGCAAAGCATGTTTGGTTAAAATGGGATTCTCTCCTACTGTAGATATCATGTGACCAAATTCTTGGTTACTTTAAAGAAAAAAATTTCACAAGTGAAAAACGACTTATTTCTGGCTTCTGTGTGGAAAATGACTGCTATGCTGGCTTCTAGCCTCCCATGCACGTTGTCTTAACAGATTGTGTAAAGAAAGAACTTGCATATGCACAGCCCACTGTCATCTTGACAGCTGTGAACCCCTAAATTCTCAGGGCAGAGCACTTCTATGTTAACTACACAGTGAACAGACATGGGTATGTGATCTTTCTAATACGCTACCTACTGGCCATCTTGATTGCTAATTTTGCTGTTCATCTAAATAAATGTAAAAATATTCTGGAATGTCCATTCATAAAAGCAATATCACATCCTAGTAAACATAAAAATGAAAACTTGTGAGCGGCTTTGAGTATTAAGATATCCAAAATGCTAATTGTGAATCACCTGCACCTAACACTCCTACCAGTGTGTAAAATCAATAACAAACTGCAAAAATGTGCTGAGCTTCACTCAATAATACTAATATCAAATAAATACATATATGTGCTTCTGTTGATAATTAGTGCCATAAAAAATTAAATAACAAACCACGATCAATAACCCTTGTAAAAAAGTGTCCATATATACATACAAAAAAAAGTGTCCATATATACTTCATAAATGTGTTCACTTTAAAATATCCAGTGCTTCTTAATAAATCCTGTGTGAAATAAACTCAAAATTGTGTGCTCCCGCCTCAAAAATATGACCAAACCGTTAAGTGAGGTCATATAATGCTTGTGTCTCTTTTTTTAATTGGACAAAAATGTGGATGGGATGGTATTTTGCTGAATGGGATCCCCTTCACTCGATCAACACTCTCCTTCCATGGTGGTTTATATAAAAGGAATAATCAGATCATAGTATTTATCCTTTTAAAAACATTTTATTAATAAAGGTAATGCACTCACATAGTACTGAATATAAACCGCTTTCTGTAAATAAAAAAAAACAAAAATGTATCCTGAGTTTTGGCAGTGGTGAAAATCCTAAAATGACCAGCTGGTGTCAGTATGGAACCATCGAGCATTCTGATGTCAAAGCCCATCCCCTTAGGTGGTTTTATTATTATTTTTTTGGCACTAATTATCAAACAACAAATACTAACATGTGCTTCTGTTGATATTAGTATATTATTGAGTGAAGCGCAGCACATTTTTGCAATTTATTGATTTACCACATCCTAGTAAATTGCACAATCACAGAAAAAGGCAAATACAATTGAAATTGAAGCCTCGGTTCACACGATCACTTGTGATTCACACCGCATTCCTGTGCAAATCACTGGCAATTTGAGCCCATCTTTTTTGTATGGCTCAAATTACCACGCATCAGCACAATTTTTTTTTTTTTTTTTTCTCTTCCTGCACTGGAAATGGATTGCATGGGTGTCATACCCATGCAGTCCAGTTCGGGCAAATGCACTGTATTCTGTGACCTGCTTTTGCGGTGTCGGTAACTTTTTTAATTGACACCCACAGCAGATTGCATGAACACAGTGTGATTGCAATGCGATGTGGGAGGAAACGCAGCGATTTCCTGTGCATTTTTACCGCTTTGCATCAGTGTGAACCAAGCCTGAAGGCGTTACCTCTAAAATAAAACACAGTACACTGTTAAAAAGTTTTTTGCTTTTTTTCAATCCAACATTCCCAAGTCCTTCCCCCATCTTGACCGCAGTTGTATACCATTTAGTGTATTTATAACCTTTCATATATTGGCCTTAAAAGTTATTTAACATTTATTGGGCCATAGTCCTTTTGTTTGTGATCTTTGTTTAGTGTTCGTTCTGTAATATGTAACGATGATAAATTTTAGTACCTCTCCATTTTTGTGTCATGAGAAAGAAAATGAATGTTGTGGCCTTTCATTGGTGTCCTAAGGCCAACCTTACCTATCTTGTGTGGGCACTTGTATTTATGAAAAATTTTTGCCAATATCACACAAATAACATAATATTTTAACAGGCTGGAGCTAATATGATCGTCTCTGGAAGTGCAGTTATGAAAAGTGATGACCCACGCACTGTGATCAATCTGCTTAGAAATGCTTGCTGTGAAGCCATTCAGAAGCGCTCACTGGATCGATGAAATCCTCATTCTGGCCATCATTGGACCCATGTGGAACCATTCACATACCAAGAGCAGGCCCTGGGACATAGACTAGTGTGGCACAGTATTGACCACCTTCAGCAGAGTGCAGATTTTCTTTGGCTAAAGGCTGTAAGATGGATGAGGCTGAATTTTATTTCTTGTTGCGTATCAAATATATTTGCTACTGAAAATGGCTAGATTTATTCTGTGGCAAGAAGAAGTTAAAGTGGATCCAAACTCTTGAGTTGTACTGTCTTGATCACATCTAAAGTAGCTCATTCACTGGGAAAGTTCAATGTAAAAATGGTTCTGTCTTATATAAAAACAGTGTTTTATCAAGACTGCTTGCAACAGATAATTGTGATGTTAAAACAAAAAGGTTTTAAAGAGATTGTTCCTATTTAAAAAAAAAAAAAAAAAAAGTTTTTGTTAAAAAAAAAAAAAAAAAAAACAACCTTCCATCCACTCATACTTGCCTTCCCCACTGCTCAGCTTCTTTGGAGTTTGGAATCAAAGCCCTGTGTAAACTTTGTGTTGAATCTTACACAAATCAATAACTTCCTCCCCTTCCATATGACAGTATGGCCTGACTGGCCATTCAGGACTGAGTACCGTATTCAGGGTGGGGGGGTCATATGGTCCTTCATACTCAGAATCACAGGGTATTCAAAGGATAAGTTCATATTTTGGAACATGTTCCACTGTTATTTGCTCCAGCTTTGGCAGCCTCTCCTCCTGATGCCGTTTTCTGTGTGACAGTGGTTGACTGTCACACACCCCCCCCCCCCCCCCCCCCCCCCCCACACACAGTGTGGCTGCCCACACGGCCATGCCATTCATACAGAATCCTGTGAATGCATGCACTGCAAGTCCTGTCAGCTTATGCAGCTGTCGGAATGTAGTTCTGAATGAACTGCAAGGGTACTGAGTGCTCTGGTAATTCATTCACAAGTACAACAGCTTTGAAAACTATATTGTGGATTTATTATTTCTAAAAACAAAAAGTGAACTTGTATTTTCCGAGGATCCCACCAGGGAGCTCTACAAAGGTGAGTGGGGTTTGTTAGAAGAGAACCACAAATGTGCAAAATGATAAATTCTCTAGAATGTCTATCTGATGCTTTTGTAAACCAACATTGAAATTATCCCTTGTGTATCTATACATACATTTTAAAGTCCTCTAGCATTTCACTTATGTAGCTTTAGTTATTGACAAATGCATGTACAATACATACAGTACCTACTTGCCTCCAGTAGGCCTAAATACATTTCATAATAGTAGTCCTTTTATTCTGTAGACCAGGGGTGGGCAAACTTTTTGACTTGAGGGCCGCAATGTCCCCCTCGACGTATCTGCGCATGTGCCAGTTTCAGGCATTAGCAGCCGATCGGCGATCTCCGGCACATGCGCAGATATGTCGAGGGGGACAGATCCTCATAGGGGACAGATTTTCATGCTACACCGGTCTTCACGGCGGACTGTGAGAGGAGCCTAGCGGGAGCCTAGCTCCGCGGGCCGGATTAAAAGGTCCGCCGGGCCGTAGTTTGCCCATTGCTGCTGTAGACTATTCCCTTTTTTGCAGTAGCAAGATCCCCATTTTTGAATAGATCAGAATCTAAACCTGCAACAAATCAGAACAGGCATGTCCAAATAGTGATTAACACTACACAAAAGCAAATTAATGCAAGGCACATTCCCCTCTAAATGCACTGTGAGAAGCATTCCAAATCTGGGAGCAACTGATTATAAGTAAATCAAGTGTACTTTTTAATTTAGTATAAAGTATAAGTTCACCTTTTTTTTTGATTTAAAAAAAAAAAAAAAAAAAATTTTTTTCTGCAAAAAAATTAGTTTATTTTTTTGCTGCAGGATCATGTAAAGCATTGAACCAGCAATCAGCAGATCGCTCCCATGCAGGTTTCCTTCAGACCTGTCAGTGTATCTGCTTGCTGTGGTAGTTAATTGAGAACTGCAAGCCGACAGCTGCCAAGGTAGTCAGGACTTGTAGTTTCTCATTCACAGAGGAGTTACGTGGCTGGGTGGGCTGAGCCTCACATGACCCCGTTTTTAAATTCGGCACATGGGTCTGGCAGGTGAACCCCTGTTAACCTCTTGCCGTCCGCCTGTGTTTATAAACGGAAGGGCGGTGGCAGTCCAGGGGTGGGTTGCCGTTCCTAAACGGCACCCGCCTTTTCTAGCCACGCGCACCACCGCGATCAGGTGCCCGCTGTGTCTTCCGGACACAGTGAAACACCGATCGTCGGACGGGACCTCTGTATGAGGTCCCGATCATGTGATCACTGATTGGCGAATCAGTGATCACATGCAAAGTAGTAAGCAAGATGTCACTTGTGACATCATTGCTTACTACGTGTGAAATCTGTGAATGATCACAGAGGTCACATGGTACAAGGCTATTCACAACAGCCTTGTACCATGTGACAAGCTGTGACCAATCACAGCTCACTCAGTACTTCTCAATGACTGCAAGAATGCAGACAGAGAGAAAGAGAAATGATTGCTTTTACACCCATATAGGATATAAAAGCAATCAGTGTAAAAAAATAAATAAATCTTCATCACCCCCCACAAGTAGTACAGTGTCACCATGGTGACACTGTACTGCTAGGGTGACCGTATGTAAAAAATAATATAAAAATGTAAAAAAAATGTTTAAATGATCATTTTTGGATTTTTTTTTTTTTACTAAAAAAAAAAATAATGGAATACATTTTGGCCAAGATTTATGATGAAATATTATTTATTTGCAAAATTTTATTTAAAAAAAAACACTTTTTCAAAATTTTTAGACTTTTTCATTTACATAGTAAAAAAAATAAAAATCCCAGCAGTGAATAAATACCACCAAAATAAAGCTTTATCTGTCTCAAAAAAATGTTAAAAAATTTATATGGGTACAGTATTGCATGACCGCGCAATTGTCATTCAAAGTGTGATAGCGCTGAAAGCTGAAAATTGCCCTGGACAGGAAGGGGGTAAAAGTGTGTTCCGGACAGGAAGTGGTTAACTGTCGGAGTGGGGGCTGGTACTTTCAAAGCATGTTACACCCTGAATATTGGTGTAGCATGTTGTGAAAAGGTGAGCTTATCTATTAAACACAGTTGTACTGTTGTCTAACAGCATTATCAGCTCATTAATTTAGATTACTGCTCTTGGAACTCAAGGGAAGCAGAATATAGTTTACATACATATGTATTTACATTTTTGGCTGTCAGGGGACTTTAGGCCATTGTTTATATGTACTTCAGTTTGTATAAGACCATTTGTGTAAAGTAAGCTTGTACAAAGCATTTGCAGAATGTCTGCTAAACTTTGAAGCTTTTAAAACACAATTTAGAAGTGTTTAAGGGTGACTGTTTAAAAGTAAGTTGGCCCTTCCATTGAGATATTTTTAAGTGCTACTAAGCCTAGGATCTTGCATTCTCTAGATCTGGTCTTACACAGTAAACACAACATGGAAATACAATATTTTAGTAAATATCTGCTAAATACCTTTTCTCATTAGCAGTATATAGCAGTCCTTTGACTTCTATCAGTGTCCAGCTGAGCACTTGTTAAATCTTGGAGGCGGTTTGATTCTGCTCTGACTGTCCTATGAGGCTGCATAAATCCCTGACCCTCTGTCTGGACAGTGCTGATTTACCCAGTTTTGATCACATGCACCTTCCAAAAAAAAAAAAAAAAAACTCTTTAGCAATAGAAACCAAACTGAGCATGTGTGTAGAGTGACTCTAGAGCTCTGTACTATTAGCAGATGGATTGGAGACAGTAGAAGAAGGGGAGGATCAGAGAAGATGCCATCAAAGAGTGTTTTTACACAATGCAGAGGATTAACCCCTTAGGTTCCACAGTGAGTATAACGAGCATACTTTACTACATATACAGACTAATTTTACTGACGTGGGTTTAGTAAACACGTTAAGCTGCTAGGAGACTTCAGTAAGCTTGAAGTAGTTCTAAGTTCCCATTTCTGCACCCCTGTCATTGACTTTATTAGGGAGTTTTTGTAAAGTACAAGAGAAGGTGTGAAAATGTGCATTGGTAGTTGAAACACACCAAGCTCTGAAGTGGGTAAGATTAAAGCTAGGCTCTATAAATGCAAGATTTCAATGCAGATGTGCATGTGAAGAAAAATAACAGTCCAGCAGGTTCCATTTGTGCCATATAAATGGCACCACTTGCATGGAAGCAGAATGGACTTAGTTGCTCAGATAAGATTATGCAGCTTGTCACTGAATGAAAGCTTCTATTGCAGGTGATTTACCTTTGGGCCAGATTGCTTTTTCAAGGGTTTGTCCGTCAAAAAAAAAAAAAAAGTATGTTGAGCAAGTCATCATTTTTCTCAGTAAATATATTTCTAAACGTGTTATTGATATGAAATTTTCACCACATCAGTAACAACCTATGCAATCAATACAAAGAAACCAAAACAAATACGTTCAGAAAAGAAGTTGTGTAATAAAATGGAATGACGCAGGGAAAGGGTATTGGACACATGAAAAAGGGAGGTGCAAAAGGGCATGGGAAGCCAAGATGCCAACTGAAATCTGTCGGTGATTAGAAAGCAATTCTGCCCCTCGTCAGTGGAAATTAATAGCTGATTCAGTCTCAACTGATGGCCTATAAAAAGGTGTCTCATTTACATTGTGTCACACAAGAAAAGGGTAAGAGCAAAGAGCTCTCTCAAGACCTTTGCACCATTGTTGCAAAACATACTGATGGCATTGGTTACAGAAGCATTTCTAAACTTCTGAATGTTCCAGTGAGCACTGTTGCGGCCATAATCTGGAAGTAGAAAAAAAAAAAAAAACACACATTTTACCATAAACTGGCCATGACCAAGTGCTTCTTCCAAGATTACTGACAGAGGAGTGAAAATAATCAGAAGCACCACCAAGGACCACTTGTGGAGAGCTTCAGAAAGACCTGGAATTAGCAGGTACAATTGTTTCAAAGAAAACAATAAGTAATGCAT